ATGGTCCTGTTTGCTTGTACTTCCACCTGAACATGTTGGCGGCGATGTGACATTTTAATACATTACCGACTATGGACCAGGGGAGAAGGGGTGATGCCTTTATAAAGTCGTGATTTGGACGATGGGATTGCACTACCTGGGTTTTGTGTTCTATCGGGGGTGTTAATCTAGTGAATGGAATCGCTGTTCTGTGGTTGTGGGTTGTATGTATGTATGTATGTATGTATGTATGTATGTATGTATGTATGTATGTATGTATGTATGTATGGTATGGTTGGTTGTATGTATGTAAAGTATCATCGTTGTTATTATTGGTCTCCTGTTGTTGAGGTGTAGTGTGTGTGTTCATGTGTGGTGTGGGGTGTGGTTGGGTGGGTGTGGGGTGTTCAAACAAACAAACAAACAAAACAATATGATAACAGTAAACTGTGAAGTGATTTAAACCATGGATGGGAGGGGGAAGAGGAGGGAGGCGGGGGGAGGGAGGGGCGAGGGGGGGGGAGGGGGGTGACCTGATGTATATAGAGTGTGTGTCGAATATGTTGGGAGAGGTGGATACAAGGGTGGGTAGATAGATAGAGACTGGATAGATAGAAAGACTGAAATATATAGACAAAGGTAGACTGGCAAGGGATGGTGAGAATGATAGACTGACAGACTGACAGAGACAGCTTAAAATGACAGAGGTACATAAAGGACAGAGAGACAGACAGATAAGAAGACGGAAACATGCAAACTGAGACAAAATAAAATAGATTGACACACACACATCATCACCATCACACACACACACACACATTAAGCAACAGGCAGACAGACAGACACAGTGACGAAAATCATAATAAACTAGACGAGAGGACCAGTAAAAGAGACAGGTGGTGTGAGTCAGACGGTATTGGCTCACTGTCCACTACCACCAGCTGCCCGTCCGTCTGTCTGTGTTTGTTGCTGCCACATATGGCAACACATAAAATGATTACTGGTTACTGCGATCATTGTATCTGGTGTGTGGGGGAGGTCATTGTGTGTACAGCTGTTGGGATGAGTGTAGTGTGTCGGTGGGGGAGGTGGGAGGTGGTGTCGGTGGGGGAGGTGGTGTGTCGGTGGGGGAGGTGTGTGTCGGTGGGGGAGGTGGTGGGTTGGTGGGGGGAGGTGGTGTGTCGGTGGGGGGAGGTGGTGTGTCGGTGGGGAGGTGGTGTGTCGGTGGGGAGGTGGTGTGTCGGTGTGGGGGAGGTGTGTGTGGTGAGGGAGGTGGTGTGTCGGTGGGGGAGAGGTGGTGTGGAGGGGAGGTGGTGTGTCGGTGGAGGGAGGTGTGTGTCGGTGGGGAGGTGGGGGGGGAGGTGGGTCGGTGGGGGGGAGGTGGTGTGTCGGTGGGGGAGGTGGTGTGTCGGTGGGGGGAGGTGGTGTGTCGGTGGGGGGAGGTGGTGTGTGGTGGGGAGGTGGTGTGTCGGTGGGGGAGGTGGTGTGGTGGGGGAGGTGGTGTGTGGGTGGGGGCTGGTGGTGTCACGTGAGGAAGAGCAGGGTAATAATATGCCTGTGTGTGTAGTATATATCATATTCTGTGATTTGTGTGTACCTGGTCATCTGGATAATGTATACACACACACACACACACATATATATATATATATATATATATATATATATATATATTATATAGATTAGCCCACCCGGGCACAGGTCAGTGACCCACATTAGGGCCTGGGGGGCGAAAATGTAATAATAATAATTCATATTAAATAAAATTTATAATAAAAAATACAAAATTAAAAATAAAATGATAATAATTCATAGTAAATAAAATTTATAATTCAAAAGACATAATAAATGAGGCAGAAAGTCAGATCAGCAACCTGGGACTTGGTCACTTTGGGATGCCATATGGCAGCAGGGTCTACTTAGACAACACATAAGGCTTCCAATATCTCATCACCATAACCAAAATCAGTACATTAATAAAGACTTTTATGTCTGTCTGTCTGTCTGTCTCCCCATCTATCTATCTGTGGTCGCCTGTCTGTATTTGTCTGTCTATCCCTCTTTGATCCTCTCTCTAATTATCTACGTCCGTCTATCGACCTTTTTTTCTATGTGGAGAATAACGTTAATTAATCCCACAGAGTAATCAATATCGCCTCCATAACCACTACCGGATGCTGGAGATCTCATCTTCCTCACTATTGATTTTAATCCAACATCCCTTGTTTTATCTGACGGACGCGGCGCTGTGTTGGGGACTGGACACGCTCACCTCATGTCAATGTCTGCTATATGACAACTCAAGGTTTACGAAATGGCGGCTGGTAATACTGGTCTCTAGGAATGTATTGTAAATTAAGCTAACTCACTAACGCAGGAGGGTTCATAACAAAAGGTATACAATATGGCAGTGGTAAAGGTTGGCTCTAACAAGAAAGAAAGCTGCACGTACTTGTGAAATAATGTTCACTGCCAGGCCTACCACCCACTGCGGTTACGCTCCTTAACGGGTATTTTGTGGGCTCGGAGCCAAGGGTAATCTGTGGTCTTATTGGAAATCCATTTTTCATTACCTGTTATTGGGTCAAGACGCACACTGTGGCACTGGCCCTGACCTACGGCCTCGGGTGGTCAGGTCATCATCAGTGAAGGTCAGGTCATCACAGGTTATCCTTTACAAAGAACACAGAAACGAAAGATAAAATATAAACATGGCTGAGCCAGGAGAGCCTGGATGCTCTGACATGCTACAGGGTTTTAAATCGGGTCAGAGAGTAAGTGGTGAGTGTATAAGATGACAGTTTCGGTCATCTTAGGTTGTGAGTGAGTCAGTGTTACTCACCCATCTCTAGTACCTGGGAGGGGACTCTCTTGTTCCCTTCACCCTCCCTCCACACACACACACACACACACACACACACACACACACACACACACACACACACACACACACCATCCGTGAAGGTCAGGTTCATTACTGTAAATGTTTATTACACATTGATGGTCTGGTTATGGGTTTCATATTGGAAAACGATGACACTTGTATGACGCTTGATGGTTGAGGGCAGGAGGAGGGGAAGGGGATGGAGGGCAGGAGGAGGTGTGGGAGGGGGAGGGAGGGCAGGGAGGAGGTGGAGGCAGGCGGGGATGGAGGGCGGAGGAGGTGGAGGCAGGTGAAGGGCAGGTGGGAGGGCAAGGGGGTGAAGGGCAGGCGGGGGTGAGGCAGGCGGGGGTGAAGGGCAGGAGGAGGTGGAGGGCAGGCGGTGAGGCAGGCGGGGGTGAAGGGCAGGCGGGGGTGAGGGTAGGCGGGGGTGAAGGGCAGGCGGGGGTGGAGGGCAGGCGGGGTGAAGGGCAGGCGGGGGTGAGCAGAAAGGAGGTGGTGGTAGCCGCGCTACTCCCCAGTATGTTAGAGTGTTGTGGAGGGAAAAGGAGAGTAATTGGAACGAGTGAAGGAGAGGACTGGGGGGGCAGGAGGAGGTGGAGGCAGGCGGGGGTGGAGGCAGGCGGGGGTGGAGGGCAGGCGGGGGTGTGGAGGCAGGCGGGGGGTGAAGGGCAGGCGGGGGTGGGGCAGGCGGGGGTGAAGGGCAGGCGGGGGGTGAAGGGCAGGCGGGGGTGGAGGGCAGGCGGGGGTGGAGGGCAGGCAGGGGTGAAGGGCAGGAGGAGGTGGAGGCAGGCGGGGGTGAAGGGCAGGCGGGGTGAAGGGGCAGGCGGGGGTGGAAGGCAAGAGGTGGTGGTGGCCGCCTTCCTCCCTGCTGTGTGTTGGAGGGTGTTGTGGGGAGGGAAAGGAAGGAGAGTAAATGGTGGAGATGAGGTGAAGGAGGGGGACTGGGGGGATATGACGAAGAAACAGGAAGAAGGAGTAAAACAAGGGAAAGACAGAAGAGAAAGGTAGAAGAGGAGCAGAAGGAAGGTGTGAGAAAGAGGAAGGGGTGAAGAGGAGAAAGGAGGGAGGCGAGGAGAGGAGGGAAGGGTGGTGAGGAGGAGAGCAAATGTGTGGGAGGGGGAGGAGGGGTAAGGAGGAAGATTATCCTTGAACTATGAGGAACAAACACTCATACTTTATAAATATTCCCTGAGTCACAGCCTTCACGACAAACACTCTCTCTCTCTCTCTCTCTCTCTCTCTCACTGTTGCGAGGAAGCCGCAGAGTCCGGTTCAGTGGCCGAGAGGGCGATGCAGGACCATCTGGCCGGCGGGTGAGCAAGTTTTCCGGGGTCCAGGGTGCTGCCAGGGGCCCTTGGTGGTGGTCCAGGGTGCTGCCAGGGGTTCTTGGTGGTGGTCCAGGGTGCTGCCAGGGGCCCTTGGTGGTGGTCAGGGTGCTGCCAGGGGCCTTGGTGGTGGTCCAGGGTGCTGCCAGGGGCCTTGGTGGTGGTCAGGGTGCTGCCAGGGGCGTGGTGGTCAGGGTGCTGCCAGGGGCGGTGGTGGTCAGGGTGCTGCCAGGGTTCTTGGTGGTGGTCCAGGGTGCTACCAGGGGCCCTTGGTGGACCAGGGTGCTGCCAGGGTTCTTGGTGGTGGTGGTCAGGGTGCTACCAGGGGCCCTTGGTGGATCAGGGTGCCAGGGCCCTTGGTGGTGGTCCAGGGTGCTGCAGGGGATCCTCGACCGTCGTCTTTACCGCTTAGAGCCTTAGACGACAAGTGACAGTCACGCTTTAGGGAACCATAAGAAAATACGGATCACACTAACCTAACCTAAGCCCCAGGTTAGGTTAGGGTGTTTAATCATCAGTTAACATAATCTTCAGATGATCCTTCAGTTAACCCAATGCCTGCCTCTCCTGACCTTGCTGATCCTGTTAATCGTGAGGGATGGATAAAGACTAACAGAGATACAAAGACAAATAAATAAAAACTGATAGATTAATACACAAACACATACAGTTTAATGGATAAAAGGGAGAGAGGCCAGGTAGGCGTATGTGTTTACCTGCAGAAGGCCAGGTAGGTGTATGTGTTTACCTGCAGAAGGCCAGGTAGGCGTATGTGTTTACCTGCAGAAGGCCAGGTAGGCGTATGTGTTTAC